TTGTTGCTGAGTCTGAGTCTTTCTGTCCTCCGTCCGTCGGGGGTGAGTGTGCTCTTAGCACGGACGTCCTTGAGGACAGGCAGGAGGAGTTCCAGTGTTTTGCTGCTGCTTTACCTCATCTCGTGTCTATGCTGCTTGCCCCTGAGGGAGACCCGGATGCACCAGACATCCCGACCCCGCGCTCTTACGCAGAGGCGATAGAGGGTCCCTACTCCTCTCAGTGGCAGACAGCCATGGACGCAGAGATGGCTTCCTGGAAGTCCACAAGCATCTACGTCGACGAGGTTCCCCCACCTGGGGCGAACATTGTCGATGGCATGTGGATTTTCAGGGTGAAGCGGCCGCCGGGTTCTCCGCCTGTCTTCAAGGCGCGCTACGTGGCTCGAGGCTTCAGTCAGCGGCAGGGAGTTGACTACTTTCAGACCTTCTCTCCCACCCCGAAGATGACCACTCTTCGGGTGCTGCTGCACGTCGCCGCTCAGCGTGACTCCGAGCTTCACTCTCTTGACTTCAGCACAGCCTTCCTACAGGGCAGCCTACACGAGGAGATCTGGCTGCGCCGCCCACCTGGCTTCACTGGGTCGTTTCCTCCTGGTACCCAGTGGAGCCTCCGGCGGCCAGTCTACGGTCTCCGCCAGGCGCCCCGTGAGTGGCACGACACACTGAGGACTACGCTTGCGGCTCTTGGGTTTGCTCCTTCCACTGCTGACCCGTCGCTGTTTCTCCGCACCAACACTACTCTGCCGCCGTTCTACATCCTCGTGTACGTCGACGACTTGGTCTTTGCTACTGCTGACACTGCTGGACTGGCCTTTGTGAAGTCGGAGCTGCAGAAGAGACACACGTGCACAGACCTGGGTGAGCTGCGCAGCTATCTTGGCTTGCAGATCACCCGGGACAGAGCACGGCGCACCATTACCTTGACTCAGTCACACATGGTGCAGCAGGTCCTTCAGCGCTTCAACTTCACGTACTCCTCGCCTCAGGCCACTCCTCTGTCTACTCGTCACTCGCTCTCAGCTCTGCCTTCGGATGAGTCCGTAGAGCCGAGTGGCCCGTACCCAGAGCTTGTGGGCTGCCTCATGTACCTGATGACCTGCACTCGACCTGACCTGGCATACCCTCTTAGCATCCTGGCACGCTATGTTGCTCCTGGGAGACACCGACCAGAGCACATGGATGCAGCTAAGAGGGTGTTGCGCTACCTGTGCAGTACGTCGGGCATGGGGCTCGTGCTTGGAGGACGGGCTCCAGTTGTCCTCACTGGTCACGCAGACGCTTCTTGGGTTGACGACTTGGCTACGCAGCGATCGTCACACGGTTACACCTTCAGCCTTGGCTCCGGCTCTGTTTCGTGGCGGTCTACCCGCTCGTCTTCTGTTCTCAGCTCCAGTTGTGAGGCTGAGATCTACGCTGGGGCCATGGCTGCACAGGAGTTACGCTGGCTCACCTACCTGCTGTCCGACTTGGGAGAAGCGCCTCGTTCTCCTCCAGTTCTGTACGTCGACAACAAGGCCATGCTTGCCTTGTGTTAGGAGCACAGACTGGAGCACAGAACGAAGCACATTGCTCTGCGCTACTTCTTTTCTCGAGAGTTGTAGCAGCGTGGTCAGCTTCGTCTTGCTTACGTGGCCACTCGGGCCAACATTGCTGATATCTTTACCAAGGCACTTCAGCCTTGTGATCATCCGCGTTTTTGCACTATGTTAGGTCTTGTGCCTACCTGGCCTCACTTGCTCACCTCTTGACTTTGCTTGTACTGTGATCTATATACATATACCTGCATGCTTACTCTTGCTAGGTTGTGATCACTGTACTGTTTGCTCTCTTTTATATAACTCTGCATGTGGACAGGCCTTGTGGCCATTTGCTTGTGCTCGGACTGCGTGGTGACGTTGTGATCCACCCTGAGCTTGACCTTGCTTCGTTCTCTTGCTTGTCCCCCACTTTGCCTATGGGGGTGTGTCAGAACTATATTGTAGGCTGTAGTGGGGCACTCCTTATGGGGTATAGTCCTGTTAGGTTTTGCCTATACAAACCATGTACTGTCCTGTTTCTAGTCATTTCCTTGTTCTAATTCTCACACTCTAGTCTTGTGATCATCAGCGTTCCTGTACTGTTCTAGGCCTTGTGCCTACTTGGCCTCACTTGCTCACTTCTTGACTTTGCTTGTACTGTGATCTCTATACATATACCTGCATGCTTATACTTGCTAGGTTGTGATCACTGTACTGCTTGTTCTCATTTATATAACTCTGCATGTGAACTGGCCTTGTGGCCATTTGATTGTGCTCAGAATGCGTGGTGACGTCGTGATCCACCCTGAGCTTGCTTTGCTTTTCTTGACTGGTCTTGTGACCTCTTGTTCTCCCCCACTTTGCCTATGGGGGTGTGTCAAACTTATATGACATAGTCTGTGTAGGCTGTAGTGGGGTAGTCAATATGGGGTACAACACTTTTAGGTTTTCCTACTTGTACCCACCTGCTTGCTAATTCAATTATTTTTTCCTTCACAATTCTGATATAACGGTGCGTTTTTCGTCGACGGCGTTTCTTGTGACGACGACTTTTCTGTCCAGAAACTAGGTTGACGATTTTGAGTTATTCCCCCCCCCCCCACCCCCCCCCTAAACGACCTAGACTTCGTCCTTAATTCTAACACGAGTCACCGGCGCGACACCCTTCAACTTCGTCGCCGGAGCCAATCGGCCGATTCCACTATTCGTCATCGTCGATGCCGCCAGCAGGTACGTCCTCACCCAATGCACTGTCGTCGTGCCCGTTCTCCGGCCAATCCTCCTCGCCCTCGTCGCCATGGTCTTCGTCGCCTTCGTCCTCATCACAGCTCGCACCTGAGCCAGCGTTAGAGCATCCCGCCATGGATGCCGTCTTGCGCGTCTCTTTCGCCATGCCTACACGTATGTAGTCACCGGGCGAGTTGATGCGCCCATAGTTGTTAACGTGCACGTGAGGGCGAGGGGACGCCGCGCCTACAGGGACTTTGCTACGCATGGTGCAGCCAGCCGAGAGCAATGGCTGAGCTAATCTCAACCTCCATGAGCACAAAATGAACCTCCAGCCCGACTACCCCCCCAGCCAGAGTGCCCCCTCCAGAGGCCGCCGAGCCGCTCCTCTACGAGGAATGTCCTCGTAGAGGACAGCACATGACAGCTCTCACGCTGCCATCGTGTTGCCAGCAGCGTTCTGGAAGCATCTTTGCGCTGCTGGCAGCGAAACAACACTGGAAGCATCATTAGATGCTGCCAGCAGGGAGGGATGTTGCGAGCACAGGCAGCTTTGCTGCATCCCTCACGTGGCATGTGGTGGCAATGCATGCATCACGATTCACCACCAAGGTCGGCCGAATTCAATGAATCTGCCCCTTGGGCGGTTTCGACACACTTTGTAAATGTTACAGATTTCATATAAATTCTGTCAATTTATAAGAATTATAAGACACCCTAAACCGTCCCAAATACAAGACAACCCAATCATTTTTTCTAGTGTATAAGATAAGACATATATGTCTTTTATCCGGGCGATGACGGTAATAATTGGTACCGGTAGGTTCTTTTCCTGCCCCTTGTTCAGTCTCACTGAAAGCTTGCTTGGTTATTGGTTCTTTAGTAGGCGTCATTCTCTTTATAAGCTGCCACAACTTGTGCATCAGTTAAATCAGCTCTTCAAACTGGTACAGTATTAGGTGAAGAAGAGGGAGCCTTTTTGAAACAGCACCCGAAGTCATGTCTGCCTGAGGCAGTCCTGTGACCTGTAAGGGAGTTTGTAACAAGTGTTGCTCAACAGGAGCGAGCCCCATTGGATGTTGGAAGGTGGCCCGCAAGTCTTCCCTCAAGACATCAATTCTTTGTTTACCGTAGGTAGAACAATCACGGTAATTGAGCCTGCTGCTTACGACATGACAACCCTGAGGCCCACCTCACCGGTACTAACTTGCTGGCGAATCCAGGCCGCATGTTACATGCCCCTAAGCCGCATTCTGCACTTGCTGTTGTAGCGATACTGACTCTGACTCCTCCTTTCTAGCTTGGACGAACCACTCCCTGTACCGTTGAAACACACCCAACCTGATGGCCTGCCGAATAACTTGAAAGAACTGAAGCATGTGATGGTGGTTGTGGCTGAAGGGAGTTACATTGGGTAAGAGGAGGCAAAAGAACAAGAGCACAGTTAGCGAAACGCACAGCAGAGCAGCATGCACTGAGTAGACTGTATGGTGAGGACAATAACCCGCGTCTGCATCAGCCGTGCATGGGGTCAACGCTGCAGGATCTCCACCGCCAGGCATGAGAGCAAGCCGCGGTGGCAGCAGGGCGTGTTTGGTGAGTGTGCGTGGCGCGATGAGAAGCAGGAGAGCACAAGTTGGTGGGAACAGGGACGTCCAGTGGCCATTCTGGTGACACACTCCCGCATTCATGAGCACTCCATGCAGCGCTACTTCACTTCCACGCGGCACACCCCACACGGCACACCCCACACTCGTGCCCAGCAAAGCGGCGTGCCCAACACGGTGG